ATCATCTCTTAACAATCGCCTTCCTAATCACTGTCACCTAAATATAAGCTTTTTGACTTCTGTCACCTGCCAACTATGATCTATTTTGAACTTTGTTGCCTAACTATGATTCTTCCAACCTGCATCGCTTGCTGACTATGGTCCTGCCAACCAAATGAATATATCAACACTAATTCTTCAAACTCCCACCATGTAATGCACTTTATATGATGTATATTTACTACATCGAGCAAAGGCCTTCCCCTAAGGAAGGGCCTCATTTATAATTAAATGCAAATACTAGTGTATTCATTTAAACCGGGCAAGGCACCATGATTTTCCCCCTTTTTAATGGTTTTCGCATAAAAATTTTGGTGTCTCATATAAACACTACCCCCCATATCTTTCATCAGTTTGTGTTGGATCTTTGTATAAATATAGAAAGCTAACATTTATATTTCTTTACCATCATGAATATTTTAGGATGTAATAGTTTTGCGTCTTATGTGGGAATGTCGTTTCTGAGTGGGGGAAACTTTTGCTCCAATCCTAGAAGGTCATTCATGTCAACATCCTAACTTTAGTCATTTATTTATATATTTCATGGGGATTATGTGTGGGTTGGGGAAATATTTAATTTCAACTATAGCCAATAAAATTCCTCCAATGCTTTCATCATCTAATTTAATATTGTAGGAAACTATTTTTTCATAAAGCTTATAGCAAATGCAAGGATGCTTCCAATAAATTGTAAGCTTTATACAATTCATAGTTGGACTTTTTCTCCTTAGGCAAGGTCTTAATCTCATCCTAAAAAAATATAGTAACGGTCTAAAGATAGAACATTCTTTACCTTTGATTCAGGATACAAGCGGAATTCATCCCCTCCCAATCTAGGCATAATTAATCCATGGGGGATTAAATCCGACCTCATCCATATAAGTTAATGTTATTAAGCAATTCTTTTGCTAGAAACTCAGATAGGTCAAACATTATAAGAGGATGTCAATCAAATCTTAAAATCTTTAATTCACAAAATATACAATCTTAATTATGTCTCAATCACTAGATGATCAATCTCAAGGGGATTCGATCCGACATAAGTTAACATCATCGAGAAATGCTCTAACACATAACCTCAAATAGGTCATACATCCTTAGCATATTCTCTCAACCTCTTCCATATAGGTTAATGTCATTGACTAATGCTCTGATACATAACTTTGGATATGTAATACATCCTCAGTGGATTCTCTTAGCATTTTTCATACAGGTTAACATCATCGAGCAATTCTCTAACTAACAACTTCGAATAGGTCAAACATCCTTAATAAATTATTTTAAACTCTTTCATATAGGTTAATGTTATCAAGCAGTGCTCTGATAAATAATATCGAATAGGTCAAACATCCTTTATGGATTCCTCTCAACCTCTTAACATCATTAAACAATGCTCTAACAAATAACCCAGGAAGATTCATATATGAGGTAGCCTCGAAGGGAAGCTAATAGTGGATAGGGTCCTCACTAAAAAGACTCCATGAGAGCAAGTGATTGGCAAGGTCATCACTTACTTAAAGACCTAACATTTTAAGAGTCTCAAAAGGCACTGATACACCAAAAACTTTATAGAGCTAAAAATCTCAAAATGTTTAAATAACTAAAAATATTAAAAGGCTAAAAAAACCCTCATAATAGATATATTTTTATGATTATTAAACAACCTTAAAAGGGTAAAAATTATAGAAAGAATAAATTCCTTTATTATCGTTGCTCTAAATAGGGGGAAATAAATCAAAGTATGAAAATTGCATAAGAATTTTTTTTTCTTATTCATTATTTTAAATAAACATCAATCTCATAGAAAAATATCTCAAATAAAAAGAGACGATCAAAAGTATCCCATAATAAAAAATTACATTATCACAAGATCTTCACTTGAAGATATTTTTCTCAGCTCGTTCTCAATATCATCATTACCAGAAATAGAAAGAGAATCCTAGGATGCCTGGCTAGGAATAAGCCTATCAATGGACGGAGGTTTCTTAAAGTCTTATATATCCTTTAATGATAATATATCTATTATGAAAGGCTCTCTTCTCTCATGCAATGAAGGAATGCACACGTCCCTCTTGGATCTTTATGAAGAAATAATCAGCACATAATAAAACTTCTTGCAAACCATTATCAAATTATTAGGCCTTCACTTAATTGGCAACATGAGTATGCCATTAGACTATGCAATCAACATATTGCTTGCTCCCCTTCATCAATATATCCTCTACCTGCCTCCATCAGTATACTATCTCCAATAAAATGAAGCTTCTCTTTCATCAAGGAAAGATTGGAGCAAGCCTTCGAATATTTGGCACTTTTTATATGGTGTTAAAATGCTTCCATTGGCACATTGCTTGGCCACCTCTATCAGGTCGTTCACTAGTATCCTCCAATTATCATGGTTGCCTACTACTCTTAACAGAGTATAATTCAACCACCACAATTATTGGCCCTTCGCTTAATATCCACCGTCGATCCTTCACCAATTATCAGCCATCATCGACCTCTCACTCGGCTATTATTAGCAGTACACCGTCCAATTGTCTCATTCATTTCACCACTCAGTCATTGATCACCGTTGGACTTTCACCTAACCATCCATCACTATCAAATTTCAACCCGCCATCGATCACCATCAAACTTTCACTCAATTATCATCAAAATTATGCTTGTCTATTGAAATCATCAGCTCTCTTTATGGGTGGAAGGCCACTATTGTAAGAAGGTTGGAGGAAGAAAGGAGAAGAAGAAATGTTACAATTTCTCCCCTATCCCTAAGGGAGCTATTTATTGGTGAAAAAGAAGGAAGAATATTCTACAAGAATAAAAAAAAAAATTCTTAAAATATTCTTAGAAAAAATGAAAATTCGAAGATTTATTCATATTTTAAAAAAAGTGTAGTTACTGCAACAACGATACTGTAGCAATGGTACTATAGGAGCAGGTTACTATAGCAGATTGTTACTGTGCTTGATAATTACAGTAGCATCAGGTCTAAGCCCAATTTTTGGCTGGGACGGTCTGATTTGGATGTTTTTGGGGTCCCCAAAAATATTATTTGACAATCCGAGCTCAATTTTGACACATTCAAAACTCAAGGAACCCTCCACATTCAATTTTGAGTAATTTTTAAAGTTTTGGAACATAATATTTTTAATATTTTTTGGTCCAATAAATGTCATAACTTCTCGACATGCTTAATTTATGACTAAGAGTATTTTAATTAGTTCATGGCCCCGAGATGATGTTCATGTTGATGTCCATGGAGTGGTCATGCCTCATAATTACCCAAAAATTATAATTTTACATTGCAGCGATTTAAGGAGATTTGACACATATTTTCAGACTCTACAGACTTTGATCTCTAATAATAAGATGATAATTAATATATATCATGATAAAATTTTACTGATCAAGCATGAATCTCAAGACAATTCACATTGAAAACTTCTAAATTTAAATTTGGGAACATCTTAACTCTTATTTCAACAAACTTATAGTCAAACTAAATGTCTCAAAAAGACAAACCCAATGACACTAAATTTGACCAAATCCAAGGCTAGATGGGTTCAAATCATGGCCACAATGTGCATTTGGAAAGTTCAAACCATGAATTAGATGACCAAACAATTTCCAAAAGTGACATTCTTATAGTCGAATAAAGCGGATCGACGAGACAAATCCAACGAACACACATTTATTGAGTTTTGATATCATTAAGACACTCAAATGCTCGATAAATGATCAATGATCAAGGGAATTGATATCAGCCATCCATTGAAAACACTCTCAACTTGCTCTCAATCTTCTCCCTATTTACTAGCAATGTAATTCCCAAAAAACTATAAATAGTCCCTCTTTCTTCACATGAAAGGAGAGCAAGCAATTAGAGAAGAAGGAAGGAATGAAGGAAGAGAGGACAGGAAGAGACTTCTGGGATCTCTCTTGCCACCAAGCTCCTCCTCAACAACCGCCTGATCACCAATCGTCATCGGAGTTTTGATGGACTTTCGCCTAGCAACCAACTGTGGACAAATTTTTGCCCAACTACCACCTATTACCTAACTTCCACCTAATCACCAACTGATGTCAGATTTATTCCCTATCACCTACCATCGTCAGACTTTTGCCCAGCCACTAGTTGTCACTCGACTATGATCTTTCCAACCTCCATCACCTATCGATTATGGTCCTTTCGACCACCTTTCATCCTACTATGGTCTTTCCCACCTCCGTCTCTCATCGATTACGGTCCTTCTAACTTCTATCCATCAATGACTACGGTCTATTCAATCATTGTGATCCAATTACGATCCTTCTGACCACCTTCACCTGACTAAGGTCTTTCCGACCTCCGCTGTTCTATTATGACCTTTTTACCATCATCACTAGCTGACTACAATCCTTCCAACCTCCATCGCCAGACAACGATCTTTCTAACCACCATTACCCACCAACTATAGTCTCTCAAAACTCCCTCGCTCGATTACGATCCTTCCGACCTCCGTTGCCCATCGACTTTGCTCTCTCTAGCCTCTGTCACCGTCAACTATGATCTCTTTGACTACCACCCTCAAACTAAGATCTCCCCAACTACCATCATCAGATTACGATCTTTCTGACATTCGTCACCTGTCAACTATGTTCTTTTCAACCTTCGTAGCCTGACTATGATCCTTCTAACCTACATTGCTTTCTAACTATGATCATGTCGACCAAATGAATATATCAACACTGATTCTTCGAACTCCCACCATGTAATGCACTTTATATGATGCATATTGTCTACATCGAGCGCCTTCCCCTAAGGAAGGTAATCAAATACAAATAATAATGGATTCTTTTAAATTGAGTAAGGCCCTATAGTTTTTTCTTCTTTTCAATGATTTCCACATAAAAATTTTGATGTCTCTTATGAATACTGCAACCATATCTTTCATCTATTTGTATGTTGAGTCTTCATAAAAAATTAGAACGCTAAAATTTATATTTCTCTACTACTGCAAAATTTCCAGGCACAACAGTACTGTTTATACCTTGCTTCGACTCAAGTGTTATATATGAACCAAACTCAAGGGAAAATCTCTTGGAGTTTATCTCAATTACAAAACATTTACATGAGTTTCTGCAAGAGAAAATACGATGCGTCAGACCAAAAAGAAAGGCAAGCCTAGTGCTGAATACGGACGCAAAGTAAACCCTCGGCCAAATAAGAAAGAAACAGGCCTTTTTTTTTTTTTTTTTGAAGAAAAACAGACCTTTTTTTTTTTGAAGAAATAAGAAACAGATCTTTGATGCTCTAAAAAACCAGGTAACTTCTCTATTGTTCATCCAAGCAGATCGAATGATCAAAATTAACTGATGGACTTAACTAATCCGCCAAATACAACAGTTTTATGATGCCCGGTTGATCCCACTATAACCTCGTCCCCTCAAAGAGTATCCATAGCCACTACTACCATTGTACGAGCTTCGTCCTCGGCCACCACGAAGCCCTCGACCTCCATAAGCAGGAGGTCTATTTCTTTGAAAATTGCCGAAAGTCTGAAAAAGCAAAATAGATCATCATCATGACACGTAGGGATGTACAAGAGATCTGCAAGGACTGTCCAGCATACCTCGGTGTCAATCTTCAACTGCTCCGAATACTTGATCCTACCATTGCTAGTTTGATCGTTAGTGTTGCGTGAAAGGGTATCAAAAAAGTCATCTTTGACATAAACAGGCTTCACAAGAGAGAAAAACAATATTAGTAAGGATTCAAAGCAAAAACTTTGGTGTTGAGTCACAGAGAGAGAAGGGAATAAACGGTAAGGTAGGTAGAGAGGGAAGCCAAAAGCTAAGGTAGGAAGACAGCGAAGAAACGGTATATACCTTGATATCCAGAGATTCAGCAAATTCAGTTTCTTCATCATAATCATCAGCTTCATCATCTTCTACTTCCCTGGTGCTGGAATGGGCTTTGCTTTTACCAAGCTGGCCCCAGACCTCATCCTTGTTGAACTTCTCATTCATTGCAGTGAAATCAAACTCTTCTTTGAACATTTGGACTGGGCGAGAATACTGCAAGAAGATTACATCGAAGAACCAATACTCATTTTATCAGTAAGAAAAAATGCATTTGGAAAGTATGTCACTGCTCAGTGCATGAATGCAGAATGGAGTTTTGAGGGAAAATATCTGCAGAAATTGGGGAAACATACGATATGGAATCAGGGAAAACAGAAGGAAGTTTGACAACTTCCTGAAAATAGTTGAGTCAAAGATTTTATTTGAGATAACTTTCTTATTCATTTCTACAGAAATTATTTTGTGCAAATGTTTCTTAAAAGCAGCAAAAAAATAGCTGTCCTAAATGAAGTCTAAAAATGGTATTTATTAAAACATAAAATAAAAGCTTCAAGACGTTGACAGAAGCCAAAGAAGGCAGGAGTCTAGTTGCTTGTTCACTGTGATACGCAGATATAAATGAAGTAGGCATTTTTGGGAGATTACAAATTTTACAAGGCTTCACTATTACGGAACAAGGTGATGCTTTATAGCTAAGGCTCTTCTCTCCATTACTCTATAAGCTATAAAAGGCCATTTAATAATTTTGATGATTATAAATACATGTTGGTGCGAAGGGGGTAAGGCATAAATAACATCTGTGTGGGCTCCGAAAATTCGGCATCGGCCTCCCCCATCGCTTTTCTTCGGGAGAGTTTAAGGATAAATTTTGGGAAGGCATATAGGTTTGTAGATAAGACACTACCCAGAAATTTCACCCTCATTTAGCGAGGACTTTATGATATGAGTTATGGTTTTCTATAGGCGCAAGCCCCTATAGTTAATCACCTCTCCCGATAACGTGAGAAAACTTTCAATTAAGGCTGGTCGTCAATCAAATACGTATAGATACGTGTTATCTAACATATAGTAACAACATGTGCATGGTATTTGGATTTGATATTTAAAATTGAAAATTTCACCATCTTGCACTTAAACCTGATGGTGGGGGAATGAATGATAGACCCGATCAAGATCCCACGGTTCCGTCGTCCCGAGCCATCGTGGTCCCTGGTCTACTTAGTTAGAGGATGTAGTCGACCCAACCTAACAGAAGGATCCTTGTCGGCAGCCATGGGTTGCTTCGTCCAAAGGTACCTTGTAAAACTGTAGTAGATATTTATCTAAGGGGACAAATTTGAATCCACCTTAGCTAACAGAGGTCTTTGTGTCCTATCGATTATATCTTATTGATTTATATTTCAAAGATTTGATGCACTAAAGAAACGTATTGGCTCTGAAAAAAAACATTATCTCACGATGCCATTTGGTGGAAAAACCACTCGGTTCAGAGGGCCTCGGGTCATAACCATTTAACCTGCAGTGCCATTTGACAGCAAAAGTTTCGGTCAAAAGACACGTACCATTTCCTGACTGGCAGGAGATTATTTGAGAAAGAATCCTAGTGATATTTTCGATTAAGCATTAGCTCTATATGAGCTGAAGTAAATTTCAATTTGTCCACCCGACAAACTATTGTGGAGGGTAGATGTATTTTCTTTAAGTGTTTTATGGTTGGATTTGAATTTAAAATATTTATATTTTTAAAAAATTTTGAGGTAGTTTAAAATATTTGAAATTAACCCGTTCGGTTGAGATTAATGTTTAAAATTGCATAATCGAGTATTGAGATATTTTTCGTTTGTGAGGTGAGGCGTAAGCCTCAAGGCGTTTTGAGGCATAAGCCTCAGAATAAAAAAATTACGTAAACATAAAATGATAAATTTTGTATATACTAATGAGTAAATAATATATAAAATATAAAAATGCTACTTACCACATCTTTGAGGATAAATAGCAATGACATATCACATAAGAACTCATAAGTCATCAACACTATCATCAGTCATCAGCCATCACTAAGGGGGTCTTCATTTGAATCATCATTATGATGAACTGCTCTCTCCTCTTCCTCCTCTCCTATAGAGTCCAATGTCTCCCAATCAGCTCCTTCCTTATTATATATTATCTTCTTCATTCCTAAATATTTTAGAATAATATCATAATGAATAATAGTATAATACATTAATAAAAGTCTAAAAAAAGAAAACTATATGATTTATATATCTTTTTTTTATTTTTTCTTGAGTTGTGGTGGATGTAGATGTTTTAAGATCATCAAAGAAATCAACATTTAAATCTTCATTTTATAATTCAGAAGGCATCACTTCAACTTCATCATCTACAAACCACTCATCATCAGATGTCACATCCTCACAAAGCAAAAGATCTTCATCATCCATTAATCCTTTTTCCTTTATATTCTTATCTCTGAGTCTCCTATTATACATAATGTACACCAGTAAATTCATCCTCAATGTCGACAAGAAATTTCTCTTCTTTGTATTTACTTGGTTGTAGGTACTCTAATTTCTTTTACAGTTAGATGAAGAGCATGTCAAGGCCAAAACGTTCATAGCAAAATGCTGCAATTCTGGAGTCCCATCACCAAATTGAATACACCACTCAACTAATATTTATATAAGAGAATTTAATTAGTGCAAAAAAAATAACTTTTAAATAAATGTTTAAATTTTAAATAAAATACCTGAAGATCGTTTGACAATTATATCATTTGCTTGTTGTAATCCAAAAAAGCCTTCTTTGTTCCTAAAAGGTATCAATTGCATGTCAGCATTTGATCTTTCAGTTGCATCACTTATTAGACGATCTATGTAATGATATAATCTCAACTTTATTTCAGGGTTTGTAAACTTGTTCTCTGCATATTGATACTGAGGGTTTAGATAATAGCAAACTGCATGCAAGTATCATTGAAGCTGTAGCTCCCACCAATCATCAATAATATTCCAAATTTTTCTAAAGTTTCCCTCATTGCCTCATAAGTTGGAGGCAATCATCTCTTTGGCTTCATCTATGGCATTATAGATGAAACCCATTGCAGGCTTCTTCTCAGCATCCACCATCCTTAAAACATAAACTAAATGTCTAGTTGTTGTAATGGCATATAAGACACTGTCAAAATCTATCATTTAAAGCAATCTGTCTAATCTATTTTCCCTCAGCCTTCTTCGCCCAAACACAACTCAACCACTGTATAGATGTGAACATATCCTCTAAAGATTGTCTAGCATCCAGCATGCTCTCTAAGATCACGTAAGCAGTGGCAAATCTTATTGTTGATGGCTTTAGAATTTCTTTTTTTGAAAATTTCCTCACAAGAGTTAAAACCCAAAAGTGATTATAAATAAACATGATTAATTTTGTTGATTTAGTAAGTGCATTTTTATGTTGAGATACCTCTCCAAGTTTATCAAGAATCAGATCTAAGCAAATGTGCGGCACATGGAGTCCAGTACAAGTGTTTCCTCATTTCAATGTAAAAAACCTACAAACAAAAATCTATCTACTTGATTAAATCATCTAATAGCAAGTTATTAATATAGATTCCTGCGTATTGTATGCGTATATTCTGCGCATTGTAAGTATATTTTGTGCGTACGTTATGCGTATTCTTAAAAACATAAAAAAAATTAATTAAAAAAATTATTTTTTCCTTTTAACAATAAAAAATGTCTAACACTAAACCTTAAACGCAAATCCCGAATACTAAAACCCTTTTAAACATCATATTCCTTATTCCTCATATTTAAATATTATCCACCAATATCCCTAAATCCTTTGTACTTGTTCAAAACTTCAAATACCTTTGAATACTACAAAATAAAATCATTATATACATATTGAGTCTAAATTATAATAACAAATTAAATTTTAATGTGGAAAATATATTCCTCATCATTTCAATTTAAATAATCTACAAATATAAATCTATATACTTAATTAAATAATCTAATAGCAAATTATTAATATATATTATTGTGTATTGTATACGTATATTGTGCGCATTGTATGCGTATTTTTGGCGTATGTTATGCGTATTCTTCAAAATATAAAAAAAATATTTAAAATTTTATTTTTCCTTTAAACATTAAAGAATGTCTAACACTAAACCTTAAACGCAAATCCCAAACACTAAAATCATTTTAAACATTATATTCCTTATTCCTCATTCTTAAATACTATCCACAAAGATCCCTAAACCCTTTGTACTTGTTTAAATACATTCAAAACTATAAAATAAAATTATAATAAACACATTGACTCTAAATTGCAATAACAAATTTAATTTCAATATGTAAAACATATTTCTCATCATTTCAACATAAATAACCTACAAACATAAATCTATCTTCTTAATTAAATCATCTAATAGCAATTTATTAATATAGATTATTGCATATTTTATGCGTATATTATGCGCATTTTATGCGTATTTTGTGTGTATGTTATGCATATTCTTAAAAAACATTAAAAAAAAATTTTAAAAAATTATTTTTTTCTTAAAACAAAAAAGAATGTCTAAAACACTTAACCTTAAACGCAAATCCCAAACACTAAAACTCTTTTAAACAATACATTTTGCGTTCTCCTCTATGTATGATCTGCGTATGATCTACGTGATGTATACGTATGATCATTAAATAAATTCTTTTTTCATCAAATCAATATAAATAACATTTATACGTAGAAATAAACTTTATATGTGAAAAACTAAATGGGAAAAATATATTCTTCAATATTCAAAAATAAACCTTTTATAAACAATATGAAAAACTGTTATTTTTTCAATGATTTACGGAAAATTTCATATACAAATTTCGCCCTATATTTTAGCATGTCTTCTTGCTAACTTGTACTATCAGACCAATTGGTGTTTCCTTCAAGACTTATCATTTTCATATAATTACAAACATACATTTCACAACTTATAGAGTTGGTCAGTTTTGGCACACTACTAATGGTAGAAACCTTCAATTTTCTGATATCACTATTAAAATATCCTTTCGTGTTAGAATATAGGTCTTTAATCAGAAAAATACGTAGAGCAATGATTAGTTCTATAAATTTTTAAAAAATTGAATAGTTCATCAGTTTCATCTAACACTTACGATTTTTGGAACAATAAACCTATGCTCTTTGACGTGGTGGGG